TAGTCCTGGAACAAGCTGGAATTTTTAGCATGTATACATTACTGAAACAGCGACGCCTACATTTGCTTGGGCATGTCATGAGAATGGCTGATGGTTGGATTCCAAAAGATCTCCTGTATGGAGAATTAGTGCAGGGAAAGCAACCCAGAGGGAGACCACAGCTACGATACAAGGACATCTGCAAATGGGATCTGAAGGCCTTAGGAATGGACCTCAACAGATGGGAAACCTTGGCATCTGAATGTTCAGCCTGGAGGCAGGCGGTGCATCACGGCCTCTCCCATTTTGAAGAGACACTTTTCCAGCAGGCCAAGGCAAAGAGGCTGTCCCGAAACCAGCAAAACCAGGGAGCTGGACAGGGAACAGATTGTATTTGTCTTCAGTATGAAAGGGATTGTTACTCTCGAATTGACCCTCTCAGGCACACTAGATGCTGTTCCAAGACTTCTATTCAGAGCACGCAACCATAGTCTCTCGAGACTGAAGGATGCCTACACATACACAGCAGTAATTTTGCATTATGCTGTTGGCAACATCATGAAAAAAGAGCTGGTGAAACTGTTGTCTTTGCCTTGAAGAACATAAGAGAGAGACATTAACAATGCTGTGATGGAGGCTTTTATGTCACAAGACGTAAGAGCAGAAAAGGTAGTTTCAGTTACTAGTGACAGGGCACCTTGCATGGTGGGGGTTACATCTGGTTTCATACAGTTCTTTGTTAAAGAAGTAAAACATCCAGTCATTCAGTTTCCTTGTATTATACATCAAGCAGCTCTTTGTGCCAGGGAAAGCAGCAAAAAATTAGACAGTATCCTCAGAGATGTTGCAAAAATGGTGAATCACATCATGGCTCATGCCATAGAGCCAGCGTTTTGTCCGTAGACAGTTTCCATGGTCACATAGCCAGCGCGTCTACACATGGAACACCATTACATGTTCTCATAAAAGGTAAAGGTTCCCCTTGACAATTTTTTGGCCAGTCGTGTCCGACTTTAGGGGGTGGCGCTCATCCCGCTCTTCAAGCCATAGAGCCAGCGTTTTGTCCGAAGACAATCTTTCCGTGGTCACATGGCCAGTGTGATTTAGACACGGAACGCTGTTTACCTTCCCTCCGAGATGGTACCTATTTATCTACTCGCATTTGCATGCTTTCGAACCGCTAGGTTGGCGGGAGCTGGGACAAGCGACGGGCACTCACTCCGTCGCGTGGATTCGATCTTACGACTGCTTGGTCTTCTGACCCCGCAGCACAGGCTTCTGCGGTTTAGCCCACAGCGCCACCACATCCCTGTGTACATGTTCTCATACCCACTTCCAAAACATCCTCTGACTTTTTATCATTTCACGTATCATACTTGATCCTTGATTAAAAAAAACCATAATTATGTTACACTTATCTTTCAGCAAGTTTTGGCATGTCTGCATCAATTTTTTTTAAGTGTGAGAGACATTTTACACCAACTGCATTTAAAGTTTAGTACAGCATTCATCCTTAAGTAAAAGAACTATAAAGTAATGGACTGAATTTAGAACTGCTGGATAGCTCTGTGGTTTAAGTATCTGGATGTGGAGCCAGAGTTTGGGAGTTCAGTTCTCCACTATGTCTCCTTGATGGAGGGACTGGACTCAGTGACCCATAGGGTCCCATCAAATTCTACGACAATAATTGTTAAAATAATTCAATTAATTCACACAGTTATTAATTGGGTAAAATGTGACAGACTTACTGCCTCTGCAAAGCTTGCTTAACAGGGAATTTCTTCCCGCAATTTCTGCATTTGAATTCCTTTTCTTCACTGGGTTTTTGGTGTAATGTCTGAAGGTGTTCAGCTAAGATTTCCTGACTGGCAAAACTGGACTCACAATTGGGACAGGCATGGTCCTTTTTACAGCTGAGAGAGTCTGTACAGCATAGAAGCAGAGGAAAAGAAATCAGATTATATTCAAAGAGAATTTTTCTGTGATATAGGCTCCAAGACATTTTCAAAGAAAGAGATCTATATTACCACAGAAATACATTTGATAAACTCAGCCAATATTGGTCAATACAGAAGAGTCCAATTATGTTAATTTGTCTTTCTCTTGATAGTTTTGTCTAAAAGAGTGAACATTGTCATTTGTAAAAGGAGAATTTAATTCACAATCTCCACCCTTTCTAAAGTCCAAAGCATTTTTGTTAACTTGAAAATAAAGCATTGTGACATAAGGATTCTGAAAAGTGCAACTGAAGTATTTTGTCAATTAGATCCAGATTTAATTATATTTAGAGCTGACCCACTGAAATTAATGCAAGTTTCAATGGATCTACTTTTTTTTTACCAAATCTGAATGCAGTCCAACAGATTGAGACTGCTTTAGTAAGTAAAGACAACCATCAAGGCAAAATATTCACCCACTGTTGAAATCATTTAGTTCTATAGCCTTTTTCATTGGATCTCACTGGCTATGTACAGAAAGTCTCCCTTATATTCCATAAATTAAAATGAAAATATGTTTAAATTCATGGTTTGCCATCATGGAGCCTGCAGGCCACACATGGCCTCCAAAAATTCTTTGTTCTCCCCTCCCCTGACCAAACTTTAAAAATGTAAGCTATATGTTTTTTATTAATTTACATGTTACTATTATTTACAAACAAAAAAATGTAAATGGCTTTTTTAAAAATAAAGCACAGTCCACAGTGGAAATTGAGGGGGAAAGCGGACCAACAAATCTGCTAAGATCATTCATTAATTTTGAACAAACTTACATGAATTCTTTCCATTTGATTTCATGTCATCCATACCTTTTTCATTACTTTGTTGCACCTCCTTATGGCTGCTATTATTGTTGTTATTGCTTTCATCTTCTTCTTGGTTAATAATTAGTTCTTCCTCCTCTTCTTCTACTTCTTCCATGTCACTGTCAAGGTAGCCAATCAATAGTTCTGTGTCTGTTTCAATATCCTCAACAGCTAGATAGAAAATGTTCTCTCCTTCCTGTTAAGAGAAAATAAGAGGTTGGACACACCAGGGATTATGTAAATTTTGCTTGACAGTGCTTATTTTAAAAATAACATATTGTTCAAATTCTTCAGAAGGTTGACGCTATCTGCGCATTGCAGCAAAAGAGTCAAAGAACTTTGTGACACCTTAAAGAATCCACAAAAGCTTATTTTACAATAAAGTGTCAGTTGTTAAAGTTGCTGTACAGCTCTTTGTTGTTTCTATATCCCTTAAAAGCAGCTGACTGACCAGGTTGTCTTTCTATGGATGAACTCTAGGTGTTTTTGAAATTATTTAAAGATATTAACATTATAATGTGTATTCTTTTCTACCTCTTGACCTTTACTGGAATTCATACGACTGTTGCTCCTAAGAGCCAGTTTTCAGACAAATGAGTCAACGTTTAGGTCCTTTTAAGAAGAAAGGTGGGGTAAACTATTTTAAATAAATTATTAATAAATAAACATTCACACAGTAAAATAGACCAGGAAAAAGACAAGGAAAGAGACATTTTGAAACTTTTACAGACGCTTAATGTAAGCTTTTCCCATCCGGCCATTGCCCACTTCTGTTTGTGCTCTCCAGAGTGAGAACAGTTGCTGCTCGCTCGCTTGCTGGTGCTCTTGCAGTTTTGCTTTTGTGGCAGCAAAGCAAAGACATATTTTTCTTTTTCATCATCAGTCATCAGTCATCATCAACTTTACTGGGAATTTGGGGAGGGATTTCAGGTAGCTTAGGCTACTTCTTCAGAAGGGCTTAATTTCATTTCAAATTCAAATCAATCAAACCTTTTTT